GGCATTTACTTCTGTTGGTGGGTTTTTTAAGAAGTAGAATGAAAATGAAGCAATTTCACAGTCTGTGTCTGGTTGGTCCTTTAATTTAGATTTCCCCTTATTTTTGCAGATACTTAAAGCTTCAGAAAGACTGCCCCTACTACCACAGGAGGACCAGCCTAACCATACGCTCCAAAAGATGGCTGTGATAGATCTTGTGAAGTAATTACTGAGCAGATCAAGATCTTTGGGAAAGAACACTAAAGATGTGTTGAATGCATTATAGTCCACTGGCATTTTAGTGTATTTTCTTTTTTAATTTTTTTAGAAACTAATGTTTCTAAAAAATGTAATGTTACATTCCTGCATGTCCTTTTTTATAGCATTAGTAGATCCATTGGATTTCTTTTCTTTTTTTCTTTTTGTGACACAGCTTCTAGTCTTACCTGAATTTATGTGTGTTTTTTGGACAATAGTTAATAATTATATTGATAATATAGCAGCAATTGTCTTGGTTAGGGCTTTAATATATTATTAGTAATTAACACTGACTATGTTGGACTGACTTGTGTAAACTCTGCGTTAAATGTGATTTAAAAGCCATTAAGAGGGCCTTGCATCAGCGCTCTTAAAACACTAGCAGATCGTTAGCTGTGAAGGTCTGAGTTGTAATATATCTGCACTGGTATTCTTATCAAAAATTTCTACAGCAGCTTCAAGGATTCAGGTTAAAACTCAAATTTTGAGATTTTTGTAACTTTTAGCTGGTTACTTAGAAAAATTTCATATGTTAATGAAAGTTTTAAATTATCATTAATTTATTTTTCAAAATGAGAGGAAGTCTAAAGTTTCTTGATGAGACACAAGGAAAAAGAATGGCCTGCTGTATCGTGCAAACATGCTCTCTGACACCTGAGATCGATCATCTAATAGCAACAGCTGCAGTCCATTCAGCCATTTGTTTAAATTTTAGAAAGTCTGTATAAATCACTGGTGTATAACTTAAAGACTGTTCTGCCTTTGGCTAATTAAGTAACGCCCTTGCAGCACTAGAGACTGCTCAGTGCTCTTGCTAGATGAACTCGGTCACACCTCTAGTTGGGTTGGTTTAGGATTTATGAAAAGCACTCCCAGAGCCCGAGGCCTGCTGCTATTTCACGACGGATGAGCCCCTTCCTTTCTACACTGAAGTTTTTGTAATGTATTTAACGTGGTTTATTTTGGGCTCAAAAATAGTTGCTGTGATGAAAATATTCCTTTGTTAGAAAAGGGTAGCCACCACATCATTTTGAAAGCACCATGAGCTGTAAGAAAAGCCATAAGAAGTGGTTTCATCGATGTGTCAGGGATAGCTCTTGATTATGTTAACATTAAGATAAGGTGACTGTATTTTTTCCTGCTTTTAGAGTTAAAATTAAAGAGATTCTATATTTTTATCATTATAGATCATAGTTACAATGTTTAGTGAGTTCTGCATGCTGACTCAATGTGTAATGAAACCTGAAATAGTAAGTTAGTAAGGAAAACAATAGTTTTCTAAAGCTGTGATATGGGTGATACAGAGTTGATACTCAAATTATAATAAAGCTCTTCATATTGCGAACTATAGAACACTACTTTTTATAAAGCCATATTTTTTTAGGAAACTTAGAAGTGACATTAAAACTGATAAATGAGTAAAATAAGTTTTACTGGATTTTTGTATATGATCATCTCTAGAACTCCGGAAATTGAGGATTCATTATGCTGTGGTCAACTTCAAATATTTTTTAATTCCAAGTATCTGAATTAATGAGCCTTGTCTTTACAAATAAATGCTGTTGGGCAACATTAATGGATTTTCTAAAAATAATGTAAATGTCTTCTGTTAAATGTTATTTGAGTGCAATAAAATACAGAAGAATTCTTCTCTATATTGTCATTATTTTTAAGTACATTAAGCATTTTTAATTTTGTTGCATAATAAAATCAGTTCATTTTATGCTTACTAGTTAGAAGATTGTTGCATTTTTGATGAATAAAATCACAAAGGAATACCATCAGCCCCTCTTCTTAATGTATTTCTAATAGGTAATGCTTATGTAACATATTATGCTCCATTGCCAGGGGGCAGGATTAAAATGAAATAGCTCCTGCATCCATCCTTTGTAGGTCTCTGTCCTGCACCTAGAAGTTGTGGTTGTTTCCTGGTGAGCCGCTCTAAGTTTCTATGCCTCAATTTCCTTATCTGTAAAATTATAGCTACCTCCTATGGCTGATGAGAAGTTTATATGGGATAATCTGTGTTAAGTGCTTGGAAAAATGCCAGGCATATAGTAAGTGCTCAATAAGTCATTTTCCTTTTGGGCACAGCAAGGTCCATATGGAGTCCCCCAGAGAAGCATAGGTACAGAAAATAACACAAAGTAGCACTTTATTCTTAGCTGTGCAGAATGCTAGTGAGGTCGTCTGCATCTCACAGAAAATGCCTTTACCGGAGCTCAATGTAAGCACTACAAACCAGGGAGGCTACAACATCTCCACCGTGTATTTTCTCCATATCCAGACATGTCTCAGAGCTCAGCTCATTGATGTGAGGTGAGGGACAGAGGGGACACAGAATGAGAAAAAGATCTTTGCCCTGGGGCCTACGGCGTCCTGGATCCGGCCTGCCACTCCACTTTCGGGACTGCACGGGAGGAGGAAGGAGGAAGGAGGGTGGTGGCTCTTGTTTCTGGGGCATGTCCAGCCACACTCACCCTTCAAGTTCCTGGGAGGAAGTGAGTCCAGAGGATGTGGGGAGACCAGGCCAGTCAGGACCCTGTCATACTGGATTGGCATCTGCCACTTCTATTTGCAACGTGATCAATTCAAACCACTCCCCCTTCCTTATTCCCCCCCAGGGGTGGGATGATGTGTGGAGAGCTCTGAACTCCCTTCATGACAGCACCCACCTGTGCTATCTAGTTAGGTTAGAAACTTGCATTTTGTGCTTGATTTTTCAAGTCCCACTAGCCACGCACACTTACTGGCGGACGTGGAGGATTGCAGTCTTCCTGCAGGTACTGCCGACCTACTAGAAAGAGCTTCAGGACTGAGATTTTTGATGCTTTTCTACATTGCTGTATCCCTGATTTCTACAGAGTGCCAGGCAAACATTAGTAGGTGCTCAGTTAATGTTTACTGAGTGAATGGTACCGAATGATCTAATTCAGCTACCTAACTTTTTTAAAGAAGGAGGTTGTAGTTAATAAGATCAGAAATTCTAGAACATTCAACAGAGATCGACAAGTTTGTTCTGTCTTTTTTTAAATACCCTGCATTCCACTTGCAGCACTGCCCAGGAGGTATGTGCAACCAACTTTATAAAACCTATGCTTTGCAAAAGTCAAGACCTGTACTTCTCCATCCCTTCATTTCTCTTTCAAGAAGGGTATGGGGTGGTACAGTGGAAAGAACATATGGTTTGGAATTATGTAAACTGATGCCTTGATAGCCTCACACGCTCTAATTTCTCAGCCTCAGCCCCCTCCTGTGCAGAGAGAGGGAGGTAAAACCTTTGCCCCCAGGGTGTGAGAGAACAGAGGACCCCTAAGCGACTGAGCCTGGTGCACTAGACTTCAAAGTTAGTTCCCTTTTCTTCCTCTTATCTAAAGTCTCAAAGGAGCAAAAACATTTGACCTATAAAAAAAAACCCTTCCCTGCATTATAGCCTGCTATGGATTATTTTTTACCTCCCCAGATTTAAATGTTTTATACAAGTGAATGTGGAAGACTTGGGGTCAACAAATCGAGTGGTCCGTGTCAGTGTACCTTTGACCCCATCTTTGGTCATACCCACATGCTCTGGCATCTACTGTGGGGAAGGACAGAGTCTTCAAAACTCTGCCTGATCCCTTACACGTGTGTATATGCACGTATTCCTAGAAATACCCCAAGACTGGATAAGTAGCTACCGGGGCTATAATCAACTGGTCTACCTTGAACAGGAACTAGATCCTAATCTACATTAAACATTAGGCCTGATATGAAGTTATAGGTGCAGAAATGAGGATGTAAACACATGGTCATCTCATATGCTGTTATTTTTTTATGGGAGAGGTGGTTGTTCTTTGGTCCATGTTCTTGGTGGGTGTCTCTGTGCTCAGTAACCCCACGTATGGGAGAGAGACTGACTGTGATTAACTTAATGTGAGGCTGACGCAGGTGAGCTCTTGGATTCATCTTGGGCTCCTCAGCAAGTGGGCTAATGGTGTGCACCTGGGCTTCAGTGCGGGCTTCCCCATCTGTGTGTGCATGTGATGTCCTTAGAGTAGCAAGACTAATACTGATATTTCAAGTACCGTGACATGCTGCCTTCCTTTAAAGCAAATTGGTACTAACTGATGAACACAAGGGTGCTCACATGGCAGTGATATTCTCCAGGGATTAGGGGGATGGGGGGTAAACCCACAACTAAAGGACACGGGGAGCATTGTAGAGGGGAAGGACATGCCTCTAACCCTCACTTGGGTGAGGCAAAGACATAAAATGTGGGATAAAATGTAACTATAATGTTTGTACCCTCATAATACCCTGAAATTAAAAATAAAAGCAATAAAAAATAGGAAAAAAATAAAGCATACGGTATCAATTATAAAAGTAGTCTTATGGTTTCAGGAGACAATAAAAATGTTGAACAAGCTTTGGTGACAGCTCCTCCCCACCCAGTTTGCCTCTGTACCCATGGAGACACTGGAGTCGGTGGACATCGCTCACTCCAACTGCCTCATCGTACAGACGGGGGTCACTTAGCCTCGTGCTGGCACCTACCTAGTCTCTGCTCGGAGACTTTTCTAAGTAATTTAAATGAGCCTAAGTCTTGATATTTTGTGATGAATTTCATGTGTAAAGAATTCAGGATTTAGGAAAATTGAATTGTAAGCTCAGACATATCATTCTTAAATTACATTTATTTGAATTCATTTAAATGTTGTGCTACATTTTGAGTTATTGAATGGTGATTTACAGAGTACTTATTATGTTTTGTCTTTAATTTTCAGAAACAAATAAAAAAATGGATGATCCAGAACCAAAAGAGAAAGGTGAGATTGTCAAATAAACAGCCTTTAAAATATACTTAAGAAAAAGTCATCATACCATCTAAGAATAACATGATTTTATTTTATATCACTAATTAAAAGAAATCACCACTGGGTTTTTCAGTGATTTATCAATATTAATATTTTGTTAATATTAATATTTTATTAATATTAAACATTTATTAATATTTTACATAAACATTAAGAGCTAAGGCTCAGAGAGAGATTGCCTGGTTTTTAATTCTAGTTTTGTCATCCACTGTATGTGTGTCTTTGGGAGAATTAATTACCTAACCTTTGTGCCTCAGTGTCTTCTTCTGTGATACAGGAATAATACGAGTGCCAACTTCAGTAGGCTGTGTTTCCACAATAGTAATTTAATAAAAATATACATAAAGTGCTTAAAGCAATATTTAACACAGGGAAAACACTTAGGAAATATTAAGTATTATTTATTTTTGATATGTTGACAGCTGTGCTAGGTATAGGAATCCAAAGATTGCTAGAACATGATATCTTTTTGCAAGGAACTCTGATTTATTAGAAGGAAAGACATGCAAAGTTACAAACTATAGAAAGAATGAAATCTGCCTTCCAAAAGTTTATTACAGAGGCATTCTAAGAAATTTAATAACCCATAGTATTTTAGTTGAACTCTCACATAGGTTTGTAAACTTAGAGTGAGGAACTATTTTTAATGTCAAAAAATTATATGGATGATCATAGAGTAGTGGTTATATTTTTAGTATCCATTGAATGATAAGATCTTTAATGATTAAATGTTATTACAATTTCAGGGATGCCTTTAATTGAATTTGTAATGGTGAGAACAGTATCTACATGTGGATCTACTTGTACATATAATGCACAAGGTATTACTTAGTGTGTAAATAATTGGTAAACGTGGAGTTGCTGGCCTCTGGCTGCAATTTCACAACCCACAGGTTGAGAACTAGGCATCTACCTCATGCAATTTTTTTTCTCACTAGTCGTTTTAAATTTTTGTCAAAGTTAATACAATGATATAGTTTAAAAAGTTAAGCGTTAGCATGAAAAACAGCAGTCCTCTACCCCACCACTCCCCATCCCTGAGTTCCACTCACAACTCTCTTGTAGCTGTTTCCTTCTAGTACTTCCTTATGCATTTATAAATGACTTGTTAATTCTGGAGTTTTCTCCTCCATATTGGAAACTGTTGGTTGACTTTGTTTTACAGATGATTGGGATTAGCTCGATCATCCTACTCAATCTCCCCAGTGCCCGTCTAACTATAATAGACAGTGCCAAATGCCAGAGCAGGAAGGAGCATAGCAGCTTTTGATAGCTGATCACCCTCTCCTTCAGACACGGCTTCACTTGGCTTGCTGGATGCCACGTGCGCTTGGTTTTTCTCCTACTCTCTGCTGTTTGCTTCTTCTCAGGCTCTTTGGATGGATACTGCCCATCTCCCAGAACATTAAAGATTGCTGTGCCCCAGGCCTCAGCCCTTGGAGCATTTCTCTATCTGCACGTACTCCCTTGATGATCTCATCTCATCTCCTGGCTTTAAATTCCTCTCCATATGCCCAAGATTGTCACATTCACCCACAGCCTGGGTCTCTTCCCTGAACTCTAGACTGGTGTGTCCAGCTGTCTACATGGCATCTACATGGTAACCTCAGTTGGCTGTCTCATAATCACTTCAAACATAACAGGTCTAAAACTGAACTCCTGATCTTCCCCACTCAAAATGTACTTCTCCTACAAACCTTCTCTTTCATGCATCACTGTAATTCCATCAGCAAATCTTGGTAGGATTCCTTCACTCCAGAATACACTGAGAATCCAGCTACTTCCTGCCACCTTTTCCCACCGCCACCAGGTCCAAACCACACCATCTCTTGCCTGGATCATTCCGGTTGTCTCCTAACTGGTCTTCCCGCTTGCGCTTTGGGTTCTCTATAGCCTTTCTCAATGCAGTAGCTACGGTGACCCTTTTTTAAAACCTAAGTCATATCATGTTGCTAAGATCCCTCCAACACCTTCAGATCTTCTTCAGAGTAAAAGCAAAGTCCTTTGCAATGATTTACAAGGCCTCATACGATCCGGTTTCCCTTTCTCGTCTTCTACAGGTTTCCCCTCCAACTTCATGTCCTGCGATTCTCCCTCTGTCTGCTCCCTCCATTCTAGCCATGCTGGCTTCCCTGCCAAGCACACATGCCCACAAGGCTTGCTCCTTTAGTTCTGCTCAGCCGCTGCCCTCTCAGTGAGCCCCCCTGACCCTGGTCTTATTTAAGATTGCAGCCCCCTACAGGCCATGCTCTCTTTCTTTGCCGTGTTTTCTCTATTGCTCTATCATCACATGATATAGTTGATAGTTTCTTTCTTTAGTGTTTATTATCTGGACCTCCCCCTGGATTAAAGTTTCCATGAAGACACATTTTTGTTTTGCTCACTGCTGCACCTCCTGGGCCTAGAACCGCTCTTGGCACACAGTAGGCACTCAGTAAATATTTGTTGAATGAATTTCTGTTATTTTTTAATTAATAAGGATCAATATTAAAAGACATAAAAGACTATAAAATCCAAACTGAAGGAATAAGAGCCAGAACCCAGATGAAACTCCTAGGATGAGAATCTATGGGAGACCCAAAACTTGAGTGGGTGGTGCTGGCAAGGAGACGCTGTTGTGGCTGTTCCCAGAGAAAGCAGAGATCACGTGGTCTCCTGTGGCTCAGTGTGTCAGAGCTCCATGTCTCACACTGTTTAGAACATGAAACTAACAAGGAAAAGGAAATCTTTATTTAAAAACAGTTTAACCTTAAATGTCTTCATCTAGAAATGAAGATAGTGATTCTTATGCCTCACAGAGTATGCATCATAGCAGAAAGGTAAAATGGAAGCAATATCTGTAAATAATGAACACAGTCTGATACTATTTTTATCTGTCTCAGCCTACTACTATTATTATCCAAATATCTGGACTTTGGGTTGCTTAGATTAGCAATTAGTTGATTTGGGGATCTCACATAGGTATGCCAATTTTTTTATTTTGTTAGAACATAACTTTTAAAAGAAGTTGTATCTACTATTATAATTATTAATAATTATAAAAACGAAGATATTTTTAGTCTCCAAAGTAAGTCACACATAATTTAAAAATACAGGACAGTTTTAAAAATATCAAATAAATATAGCATTATGGAAAAATCACAAATGTGATCCACACCACTCAGTTTGCCTTGGACCGATGAACATTTCATTACGTGGCTCCAAGGCAAAGCGACCACTGCTGTATAGACTGAGGTCACGTCCCAGCGCCAGTGTCACTCAAGTCTCACTCCTCACAACCCCGGATTCCAGGGTGTAACAGAGAAGAGAGAAAAAACAAGCCCTCTTTGTCCTTTATTCATATTTTCCTTTGCTACATTGGTTAGGGAAATGAACACTTTTAAGGAAAATTCTGGTTTTCTTTTTTCCTTTTCTTTTTTAAGAGATGGGGTCTCGGTACTTTGCCCAGGCTGGACTAGAACTCCTGGGCTCGAGGAATCCTCCCCCGCCTCAGCCTCACAAGTGGCTGGGACTGCAGGTGGATGCCACTGTGCCTGGCTAAAATCCTGGTTTTCCTAATAGCCCCCATCTTTACCCTCCTTCCTGCATGTCTTTAAGACTTGAGTTATATATCAGATTCAGACCAACCCTACAAAGCACCACATTCCCATTACAATTAAATTCAGTTACATATAATTTAAAAAAACTAAAATTTTAGTGTCTTAAAAGACAGGAGTTTATTTCCTACCCTCATAAGTAGCCTAGGACCTGTTTAGTGGCTCATGAAGGACCCAGTTTCTGGCCATTCTGCCATCCTTAGTCCATAACTTCCTGTTCCAAAAGGGCTGTCCTCAGCGCCAGCCACTGTAGCTACATCCCGATAACAGGGAAGAGGACTGCAGCAGGAGCAGGCCTCTTAGAAGATCTACATTTAACTGACAGAACTTTGTTAGAGCTAAAACTCAGGGTTCTAGTTCTAAGGAAGAAGGGAATATTGAATATCACGAGGAAGCAGTAATTAGCAGTCTCGGGCAATGCAGGATTTTACTCCTTTTGTTACCAAAATGTATTCGACCACCATATTTTAGGAACATAGCTACTGTTCCAGGCTAAAAAGCTTGATAGATCATCAGAATATGTATTTTTAAAAACAATAAACTTCATAACAGTCACCAAAAAAACCCCCAAATCCACAGATCCCTTCATCCCCTTAAATATTTGCATGACTGCTACATGCCAGGCATTGTTCTGAACAGGTGCGCGCAGCTAAGAGCAAGTCAGACAAGGTTCCTGCTTTGGGGGAGCTCACACCTCAGTAGGGAGACCAGCAATGCACACAAAAACAAATTGGGATGAGAGTTCTGAGGACACAAAGCAGGAGAGTGTGCCGGGGGAGAAGTTCTCTCCCGTGATTAGTGATATGATCCAGGCAGCTGTGCAAGGACTAAGAGCACTTTGAGCTGAGGAGCAGTTTGTGCAAAAGTCCTGAGAAGGGAGAGAAGGGCCAGAGAGGCTGGAGCACCCTGAACAAGCCAAGAGTTTGTGAGATACAGTTAAAGCCTGGGGCCAGATCGTTGCGGGAGTCCAGATGTGTTTCTCCATGCTGTGGGACGCCATCCCCAGCCCAGCCACATCTCTGTACCTAGCAGGGCCCTTGCTCATTCACACGTTGACTGTTTGCTTCTAGGAGGTCCACGGCAGTGCATTCTTAAAAGGGAGGGATGAGGAGGCCAGATTGTAGTTGTGGTTCATTGTGGATAAATGCGAACACTTGCAAACCTGCCCAGACCTGCTGCTCACAGGGCAGTCCGGGCCCACGACTCTGCCCCTCATATGGCAGAGCTCCCGCTTCAGCCTTAGCAGCCGGCACTGTCCTGCCTGGTGTCCTCTGTGCACAGGTCTCACCTCTAGGAGCTCTGATCCCAAAGGGGGTGTTCTTGGGGAGTGTGGGGGCTGGGTCTCTGGAACCTGGT